ACACACAGATTATCAAAACTAATGTTATCGAACTCATTCACAAACAAAAACCGATCAGCTCCTCGCATTGAACTCAGTTCCTGTACGCACGCTGTGAAATGACCTATTGTGTTCACACGATCCGTCTAAGCAATGCACTCCAATGTTGTGTTAGACACACTTCTAAATTTCTGTTTATCTTGTCCCGTACTATTTCACGAAACATTTCGCTAGATAATCTATGAAAAAACTCGATCAATATTCTCGTATGGCAATATGTGTGGAGTAGTAGTTAGTCTTCAGCGGTTTATTTCAATGCTGTGAAATAAATAAAACTCTCATCAGAAAGAATCGACTGTGGTTGAACAGACAACACAGATGGGAGGTGGAGAGTGAGTAGGGAATTTGAGATAGACAGACAGACAGACAGACAGAGAGAGAGAGCGATACGCAATGAGACTTTTTCAGTTTACCATTAGGTATAGCAATGTCGTTGCGTTTTCCCCGGGTATACTTTTGAATAATTCATTACATTGGCGCACACATTTTGCACAAATTTTATAATTCATATTCATGCTTCTGCGTTTACCTTAGCCAGTTCGAAGTGGACTATAGCCGCAATAAACATACACGGGACTGTGACTGTATGAAAAATGATAAATTTTTACTTTCGGGACTAGAATAGCCAACACAGATTTCCTAAACTGAAAAGTCGATAGTCTGTGAGATCGATCATTAGTGCTCACACACATACACAAACACACTCGGCGCGAACGAACACTTAAACGACAGTTTCGGTAGTTAGACCTAGTTGAAACGGCGTAATACAAACGAAGTACTGCTTGGGATTCAAATGCAACAATTGATCTTGTTATATGCGAGGACTGGATGATTTGATTTGATAACATAAATGAACTCGTCGTGTAAATGAGGCATGAGCTGAAAGAATGGGAATTACAAGTAATCAGGTTGTGAGGTTTCCAAGCTAGTCGTAATCCTGGAGGCTAGTGCTGAGATGAGCAAGGTCCTATGCCTGCAACAAATTCGCAAAGATGGGTTGTACTATATCGTGTATATTCGAAATGAGAAACGGTCTGATCAGCTGCCCTGAGAGGTTCCGGATTCGATTCCTCGTTGGGTTGATGGATCGACACTGTTGATGAGACCCAACAAAGTCTAAACAGTTGTTCACTGCTTCCTAGCTTTTCAGCTCACTCCTCATTCGCATGATGAGTTCATCATGGAAACGATGTATCTTCTTTTCTTGTGAAATAGTGTGGTGCAATATATTTGATCTTGAAATGAATACAAATATAAAACAGTCTGATAGATTAATTTATTTTTTTTCATAACATTGTATGGTGCTAGAGGGTCATTTCAAGAATCAAGCTTGGATGCCCAAACGTGAGCTTTGTGCAAGTTGTACTGCTTATCATCTGTTCGAAAAACACTCAGAAACATGCCCTACTCCTCTTTTCCGCATGCTCATTCTGTTGGTTATCAAAGTACTCCCCGGTTGAGATGATTCGTACGATTTTTGTAAGCGTCACAGATAAGCTGCTTCAGATTGGTTCTGATGGAACGCCCTTGCTTTGTTCTGATTGGTCACTCGATGATTGCAGCTATGCTAACCTGGATGAGAAGCGAGTGAGCGCGCATAAACACACCTGTATGTGTGTGTGCGTGCGTGCGTGTGTGCGTGCTTTAACAAACACATTTGGATCCGAAAGTACGCAATATTCATTTGCCGATTAACTAACTGGTCATCAGGCTGACGCATTCAATCAAATCGGCTTGCGTCTACACATACACACACGGTAACAAACGAATATCTGCACAAGTCCACGTGAGGGGCGCATGTGAATCCTTTGGACACCGATACCGAACAGATACCGTACTGCATCAATTATTTTTATGCCCGGTACAGACGGAACACATTTATATTGANGAAAAGGTCTACAAATCCCTTGTGCCGGCAACTGCAAACGGTGTTTGCACACATAGTCTTGCGCTGTTACAACCCATGTGTCTTTCTCGCCTGCAATCAACCAATACTTCTGTGTGATTTTTTCATCATACGGATTAATTTAGAGTGTTATCGCGCATAACAAAACACTCATTCCAGACACAAAGCACTTCTGTTGAGTGTGGATATAGTTTAATTTTGCCTCTTGTATTCTCTGTTTGCTATGTGCTATGTCCAAATCAACAGGATCTACACCACCGTCGGTTGGAGAACAGCCTGGATTGGATCAACCACACTCAGATTCCGGTGACCAATTTGAAGTTCTGTCCGCCTCAAAGGAGGATGTAACAATCCCGATACCGCCCCTGGACTCCACTACGGCTGTTAGAGAGACACAAATCCAGGACAGCGCGGAACGCCCTTGTGAAAAGTATGATCCCTGTGATTTGGACAACTTGCAAACTAAACCAGTCACTGGGCCCCCATCCACAGAGGGCATATATATGGGCGAACATACTTTGCCTCATCAGCGGGCGATAAAGAAGTCACGGAAGCGGAGATTTCATATTCACCGAATTACACGAGGCAAGCACTGGACAGGTGCAACTAATGCCACGCGCAACTGCCGTTCCACACCAGCCCTATCCAATGTGCCACCTATCTACAGGATTTTAATGCGAAAGCCTACCAGGCGACTGCTGCTAGCCGTTACCCAGGATACCAAGGGTATTAGGCCAGTGACAGATCGATCCAAGTAAGTTGTCTACCATACAGTCATATTAATAATCCCAAGTTAAGTGTGTGATATAGGAAGCTCGATTCCAACGCGATTTTGTTAGTATAAGTTCTACCGCATCTAATAATCAGCATTAGTTTTACTTAGATTTTTCGTTCTTCGAAGTCATTTCAAGAGGCTAAGTCGAATCAGTAATCTGTCTTACTTTCGTTTAACTGCCTTATCCGTTGATTCCTTTTTGGAGGTGAAAGGTCATATAATCACGGACTAATTTTGATTTTCATGCACAAACCTATTCGGTCACTCGGAAAGTATAGAATCCGAGATCGGAATGGACGTGGTCCATTTTCATGCAATAAAAATTCGAAAAATGTGTGTACATTTCGGTGCTTCTTTCTAACAGTGTCGAAATAAAATTAAGGATAAATGTGAATACAACGGGATGGAAAAATTTCCATCCGAGGTACTGGGGTGCTGTTGTTGTTGTTGTCGTCGTCGTCGTCGTCCTTGTCGTTGTGTTGCCACAGATGGGTTATCGAGCGTCCATATGGGACAACGGTGTGCACACTATGTTTACAATGTGGGACAATGACTGCATCTGGAGTATATGACGCATTAAAGGATGGATATAAATCGAGGGAGCCGAGTACGTAAATTGATCTGTTTATTGTCAAATTAAAAACTAGGTTGCTGTGAAACAGGACAAGAACCAAGCGCAATCAATTTCTGAAAGAAATAGTTTTAGTAGAGAATAACAGAGTAACTGAGGTTGGGAAAGTTCATCGATATCCACGGCAAATTTGCCTCGCTAATAAAAGCAGTAAGCTAGTGCACATATTTTCCCATTGCACGTTATAGTGCTTTCTGTGGTGCTTACTCGTTTTGACACACATACCCCCCTTGATCAATGCAATATGAACGTTGCAGTTGAATCGTCTTCTGACAATGAGTTGCTTCATCCGACAACGCCTATTCCGTGTGGTTTAGTTTTATGATCACCTTCACGCATGGATATTTTCAAGATCAAGTTCTAGTGAGATCGTCTGTGTCTTGCAGTCAATTTAATAGATGAGGACTGACAGACTGGTAGAAAATGAGCGCAGTCCTTAAACCGGATTTGTCGAGAAGACCAAAAAATAAATCAATACTGCTGAGGAGCGTGTAACTAATTTCCGGATAAAGTCACATAATAATGGGAGAAGGTGGTTCTTCAATTCATGGAAAAATAAAACAGTGACAATCATGCGTGAAAAATTCTTATTTTGCATACTGAAACACACAATGACTGTTGCGATTTTGTGACACTGCAGTGATCAAAACATGAAACAAACAACCGTTTAGCAAACATTGCGATGACAGAGAGACGACAAGATATAATCCCCGCATTCAGTTCTGTTTTTTACTGGACTGACAGGTTTTCACGGACAAGCTCTTCGCACTAGACCTTCAGAAATGCCTCCCCGAATGGAACGATCCCCCGTTGATGATTCACGAATGAGATCAGGACAAAAATGACACTGCTGTGCCTGTGTGTGTGCGTGCTACAATCGTCGGTGAAATCGCCCATGATGGCGATCAGTTAACCAGTTTTCTCCACCTAGGGATCCGGGGAAATTTGACATTTGAACTGATCGACCTACAGCTCGGGTTAAGTGATAGCTGTGTTCGATCAATAATGAAATATTATTATAAACTACTTGGGTAGAAATGTTATAAACGTGCAACCGGATTTGGTTTTGCAAAAAGTTAATTATTTATAGCGTGCAGTCTGTAAATTATACAAATTACTCGCTCATGCTGTTGCGTACATTTGGACTGATCTGACTGTCATTAGAAGTCTGTGTGGGATAAAAACCAATAGGGGAATAGAATTCCCTGCAAAAACCTGCTATAGTGATCACCACGATCAGTGCCCCAGTTGAAATCAAATCATCTGAGCTGAAAATTTTCAGTTTTATTCTATATTGTGTTCTCAGTGTTGTCGGTTGTGGAACATTGATTTCCCTGACTGGCTGGGGTTGTTTTTCTACCCAGCATGACGTTTCTCTTCCCCCCGACCCCCCCCGCCCCCGCCCC